TAGGACTTCCACAACTGCCTACCTGCAAATAACATGGCAGGCACTAAGGTTCCTACACATTGCTTGGGCCATAACACATCATGGCGTGACAAGTTTAATGTGTTCCACCAAGTGGTTCGGCTTGCCAAACATGCCCATTGAAGTCAATGGGGCTGCACCATAGTCAGCTGGGGCACGGTATGATCAGCTATGAGAAACCTGCAAACCATTACTCATCTACTATGGCGGATCGCATTTCAGAGGGGTTGTAAACTCTGTTGCCACTGTGAATGAGGCCTAAGCAGTGAACCAAGGATGACCATGGCAGGCTGAAGCCTACAGATTAAGATCGATTCAGCAATGGCCTCTTTCGCTCAGGGACTCCAAGGCTGTATTCACACCTGAGCATCATGTTTTTGTGTGTTTTTTAGGGTGTATGGTAGCGCGTTTTTCTACAGCGTTTTCAAGCATTTTGAAGCTTTTGCATTTTTGTAGTAGCCAATAGAAAAAAAACTATCATCTGTTACATCATGTATTGCTATGTGTTTCTGTTTTCAGCTGCTTCATTATTGCACCAATCAGGGTACAGAAGTAGCTCCAAAACTTTTTTTGAGCTTCAGGCGTTTGGCCTCAGGCTTTTTGGAGTAGAGATGTGAACCAACACCATAGAGAATAATTGATTTTTTCTTCCTGAGTGTTACAAAATGCTCAGGTGTGAATGGAGCCTAGTAGTAGAGCAAGGATGACCAGCACAGCCCCAGAGATCTCACTTTTGAAAAACAATTCAGCAATAGCATCTCCCGTTTCTTAATCTTGATACATCCCCTTTAAGTGCAGGTAACATCTTCTCCCTTTAAAAGAACAGCCGTTTAATGTTAATCAGACTGACGGTTTTCCTTAACTGCAACTGACTTTCGTTCCCTGACGGGTTATAATTCTTAGAACCGTTCCAAAAAAAAATGTATCAAAGATTCTGAATGACTTTGAAACTCCATGGAACTTTATAGAGAAGGAAAAAGGCACTCAGGAAGTCATGGCGGGCCGCGCTCTGCCATTCACACAGGCGAAGGCAGGATTTTTCCACCTGAGACAGATTGCGACGCATGTTCGAATCATTCATGCACATGAAGCAATACACAAGTTCAGTGTAAAGCCACTTTTAAGAGCTCGCTGGGCTCATCCTTCTCTTGTACAATATACCTTATTCATGACGGAACAGTGCGAGCCTAGGTAATTACTTGAATCAAGGTGGCCTCAGAAGTGTTTAAATCTACAAGGACACTTAGAGCATGAATAATGCAAAATAATTATCTAAATTTTTTAAGTGTTCTTTATTCAAAAACTAAAATGCAGTTTCGATTAAAGTTTGATGAGTGAAAGCTCAAGATTTCAGACCACTGTGAAACATCTCCTATTTGTGAAAATTATTTCAGACAGTGGAAAAGGGACAAAAGAGATAGAGAGAGAGAGTAAAAAAAAAAAAAAAAACTTGCGGGATTAGGATGTGCTTCTTTCAGATGTACTTATTATCCAATGTCGTCCGTCGGCGGTGACACGGATTGAACTTTGTTCTGTGCAAAAAATGCCACTTTTCATTTCAGAAAGCAGAGATTAGAGACCTGATATATCTTTAGAACAAAATGATCTCCTTTAGGGAGCCGTGTCTTTCCTTGCGGATGATTAAATCCATATGATTTTGGAAGAAAAATATTGTTTAAATTAGTATTGTTGCCATTTCTTTATTACTGTGGCTCCGTTGTATTGTGAAGAACATCAGACAGAGTTTTGTGGAACTACACCAGTTGTAGAAGAGGAGTTTACTGTCTATTTCATTTGCTGTAGGTATGTACGGGCAGCACAGTGGCTAAATGGTTAGCATTTCCACCTGGCAGTACTAGGGTTGCTGGTTTGAATCCCAGAAATTGGCACCACCTGCCTGGAGTTTGCATGTTCTCCCTGTGCCTGCGTGGGTTTTCTCTGGGTACTCTTGTTTCCTCCCACACGCCAAAGACATAATGGTATGTTAATTGGATTCTGTCTAAATTGGCCCTAATATGTATGAATGTAAGTTAGGGGCCTTAGATTGTACACTCCTTGAGGGTTAGGGACTTACGTGAATGTACAATATATATGTAAAGCGCTGCATAAATAGACAGCGCTGTATAGCGCTAAGTAACTGAAATAAATAAATGTATCCCTGGAAGTATGGGTTCTTCTGTTCCTGGTGGGGATGACCCACTAAACCATACTTCACTCTCATACACACCTTGAGACTACACAGAGGGTATTTTAATTGGGCAACAATACCCAGCAAGCAAAATAACAGCAACCAAAAACCTACAACATAATATGAAACATCATACCACAGTAGCATAAAATTAGCAGGCAACGTTGCAACAGTGTAAAGATTGTATAGTTCCTGAGAACATGGAGGCAGATTTCAGGCCTTGGTGTCTCAGAACTAAAGAAATGCTCTGATTTGTGAGAGGTACACTTTAGGGCCTAACCAAGGTAAAGTCCCTCCCTACTCCACTGACCAGTGATCTCCTAACTGCCGGCTGACATTGGGGCCCAAAGTCCTGCATTGGCATGTTCAACCCTTCCCACTGGGAAGGATTAATGCTGGCTGATGATGGGCCCAAAGTCCTGGGTTGGAGAACGCACCCTTTGCTGCTTGGGAAGGGTTACTGTTGACTGGTGTTGGGTCCCAAAATCCTGCATTGGCATGTTCAACCCTTCCCACTGGGGAAGGATTAATGCTGGCTGATGCTGGGGCCCAAAGTCCTGGGTTGGAGCACGCACCCTTTGCTGCTTGGGAAGGGTTACTGTTTGACTGGTGTTGGGGCCCAAAGTCCTGCATTGGCATGTTCAACCCTTCCCATTGGGGAAGAATTAATGCTGGCTGATTTTGGGGCCCAAAGTCCTGGGTTGGAGCACGCACCCTTTGCTGCTTGGGAAGGGTTACTGTTGACTGGTGTTGGGGCCCAAAGTCTTGTGTTGATTGGTCACCTTCCTGCTGGGAAAAGGTTTTTGTACCCCAGTCAGTAAGCAACAAAAATGTGTGGCCAAAGGCCTATCACCAATCCCTTCTCTTTGGGCACAATTCCCTTACAAGGGGAAGCTTTGAATAAAAAGGCTAAGCAAAACAAAAAAGGAAGCTGCTTATTTTACTTTTGGATTCCCTGATAGGAAGAAAAAATGTATTTTCCATGGGCACATTTGCACTATTTCTTTGAGGTAGTGTGCAGTAACACACAAAGGGGGTTAGTTACTAAAACTGTGTGCAATATTTGGTGCAGCTTTGCAATAGAAACCAATCAGCTTCCAGGTTTTATTGCCAAAGATTTATTGAACACGATGCCGTGTATGGTGATGCCATTCATTTGAATCCAAAGTGAAAATTCTCTATTCCTTAAGTAAATCAACTCCAGTATCCTAATCAGAGCTGTCATTTGCTGTTCAGTCTGAGGTTGATTAACCTACGGCCATGGACATCTCAACCATTATATAGAAGCCTCTTCAACTTCAATAAATCCATTTCTCAGATAAGCTTGTTTCAAATATATCAATGGAGGCAAATCATTGCCGTTTCTATGGGAAAAAGGAAAGAGGCATCCCCTCCCATGTGCAATGCATAGTCCTTGGTGGTCTAAAAGCTTTCTGTAACCCCCCTTCCTTCACGCCCAACTGGGTTTAGACTGCGAGAAGTGGGCCAGTACTAGGAGCCAATCTGGGCTCTACTGAATTACACAATACTGTCAGTCTAACACAGGAAATATGCTGACCGGAGGAGACAGCCATCCAAGGTGATGACTTGTTGTACACGGATGTCTCTACATTTTTCAGTAAGCAGGCTGAGGAGCATGTGCTTAAATGATTATCTTTATAGATTAGTTAATCAGAATTTTGAAGGCCACAGGTAGCTATTCAGCAGATGAGCCAAGAATCAGGCCACAAAATGTGTTTTGTACCTTTAAGGATCTAATATTGTTTCTTTTATAATTGAACACGCTAAAAGATAAGAGCTCTGCAATAGTCAGCTTGTAACACATTGCACCACAACCTGGGCCAGACAGTCGGGCAGACCCAAGTTGAGTAAAACATGGTTTTAGCACGCAACATCTCTGCTAAGGTGCAATCCTCACCCTAACCACTGAACTGACAGCCAATGTCACTTCATGTAAGGCCACACTATTTCAAGGCACTGGAAGAAAACTCTACTTTTTGTTAACTCTGTAACTGTCTGCCATAAGCCAAGAACCAGTCATTTCAAACAAATATAACTCCATACATTTATGGATATACAATCAAGCACACATTTAAAAGATTGTTGTTTGCTGTCACGAAGGACAGTCATTTTTCCTGCCAATGCACAGCAGTGTCCTACAAACGTTCATTACACTTTTTTTAAGGCAGTATTAAACCCCGAACCCCAAAATATAATCTACTGCAGCTAATCAATCCTTGGATGTGGTGGCTGCATTAGTTTTCTTTTTAAGGCTTTATTGCTCTCTGTTTTCACCCGGTGATCTGGCCAGTAACATACCTCCTGTAATAGAGTACCCCCACTCTGGATGAAGGAGCACAAGGGGCACCTTTAGACAGCAAGTCAGTCAAGGGGGAGGGGAGTGTTAGCAGATTTAAATACACTAACAAATTGAAGCCAAACTCCAGCTAACATTTTATCAGCAGTTACAGCAACATTTTTTTTCCTTTAGGGATAAAGATTTTACAGTAATGAATAAGAGCTGATCATTGCAAGCACCCCGTATCAGGGTTAAAGAATATGTAAACCCAACACTTCAGATTCCTGATATGTCCCTGCTGTAACATGTACTTGTGAGAAAAAGTATCCTGTTCTCTTTGTATTGCTTCCTCTGTGTGAATCCCCTGCCAGTCCCTCTACTTTCCTATCAAACACTGACCACGCCCTGGCATGAGAGCACAGCATGGTCAGTTCTCTAGCTGTGCTGGGAATTCAGTTTGCTCTCCTCCAATGATCAGACTTGTCCTGACCCACCTGCACAGCCATTCACTGGAAAGACGAGTGCACTGTTGTTTCTCCTCTCTATGCAGCTGAGAACAGAGGGTATGTTACCTATCACCAGGGGTGGACTGACAACTCATGGGGCCCCCGGGCAATAGGGGATCATGGGGTCCCTGTGTCCTTGCCCACACTCAAAGGACACCCAAAAAAGCCTATAAAAGGTACCAGGGGCATCTCATGGGGCCCCCTACTGACCCCGGGCCCTCGGGCAGTGCCCGATTGCTCGAATGGTCAGTCCGCCCCTGGTTATCACTTATAAAACGGAGAACACAAAGTATGTATAATGTTTTATATCAATTCACAAATACTTTTGCTTTCATTTCTATTGTAAACTGAATGGGTTGCTTTACAAGCTAAGGGTTTACATATACTTTAACCACTTCCCGTCTGGCCCATGTATATAAACGGCCGGATGGGAGCAGTGCAGGGGCGGGTGGCCTTCCCGCTCCCTGCTTGTGCATGGGAAATAAAATAAAAATGTAAAAAAAATTTTTAAAAAATTATAATTTTGGGTTATAAACTAATTTGGTTTTTTTTTTTTACTAAAAAGATAACTGAATACATTTTGGCCAAGATTTATGAAGAAAGATTATTTATTTGCAAAATGTTATAAGAAAAACACTTTTTTTCAAAATGTTTGGACTTTTTCATTTATATAGCAAAAAAAATAAAAACCCCAGTGGTGAATAAATACCACCAAAATGAAGTTTTATCTGTCTCAAAAAAATGCTAAAAAAAGAATCTGAATGAACCGCGCAATTGTCATTCAAAGTGTGATAGCGCTGAAAGCTGAAAATTGGCCTGGGCAGGAAGGGGGTAAAAGTGCCCGATAGGCAAGTGGTTAAAAAGACCCATGAGTAGTACCATTGTGGAGCACAGTGCTTGAACTTGAAGTGGCTAAATGGTTTGTCTCATCTCTGTAACTAATTCATTTTTCTGGAGGGCTTGTTCTGTTGAAAGCACAACAAACTTACTAGCTGGATCACCAGATGAAAACAGAAGAAAGAAAGCCTAAGAAAGAAAACTAATGCAGCCATCGCATCTAAGAATTGGTACGCTGCAATATAATAAATGTTTGCTTTTGGGTTTAACACAGCGGCCATGGCCGACTTTTTTTTTTTTTGGTAAGAGGCTTGCTGGTCAAGCACAATCGCCAGGCTGCCTCAATAACAATAGCAAATTTACTGATTGACTTTACTAGCTGCCTGGAGCCGCTGGTTAATAGATCAAAAAATAAAATGTACAATATATCCTGGTAGTTCTGTGGGATACAATGGCAGCGCGGTACGCTCTATCCGTGTACGTTTAAGAGCCGCTCGCTCTGTATTCCCACACGATCCATAAATCATGATCCCACTTAAATGGGAAGAAAATGAAAGTTGACATCATTATTCCTGATTCACTACTGGAGGTAATTCTGACATATTTTCTCCTTAGCACTGTAAATAAAACCTGGCTGTAGTAAAGGCAGGGTCAGAGTGTAAACTGCCAGTGATTTAACAAAGGTCACTTGAGCCGGGCTTAACAGTCCCATGTAGTTCAGGTGGGGAGAGGCCTGCGAGGGGGTCACGGGGGCTAAATAGGAGATTGACTGAACACAGACATGGAAGTCTAGAGCCTCAACTCAATCCACTGCTTACAAGAAGCTTTGTGACAGACTAACACATGTCCAAGATCCCCCGCACAGGCTCAGGGAGACTCGCAGGAGTGTGAAGTAAAATTATATCCTTTCAAAGTTTTTTTTTTTCTCCCCCCCCCCTTTAATTTAAACAATGGAGACCTTTCTGTTCGACTCAACGAACAAAGATTACCCCAGCAACAGACCCCCTGCCCAGCAGGTCACCTATATTTGCGACAGTATGTTCCTTTTCCCACGCTAACCCCGGGGCTCATTTGCATAAGATCTCTGTTGTGACAATTAGTTTCAGGTGAGGTGATTTGTATGAAGTCGGCGCGCAGCGATGCACTAGTTAGGGGGCTCCCCGCTCCTGGCTCTAATTGCGACTGACTGGCACCATTCACAATCACAATCTTGATTCAGCAGATTGTCCTGCCCGTCATCGCTAGAGGTGACCTCATAATAAACACAAGTCCATCCTGTACGCCACACAATGGACAGAGGCGCATTACAAAAAAAAAATCAGTTGACAAATAGAGGAGATCACCCAGCAGCTGTAACAGAACAATCAAATACGTATTCCTGTTTGCTGTACAGTTTGAAAGAGAGAGAGTAAGGGAGTATATATATATATATTATTATTATAATATATATGTGCACTTATTATTGTACAGGATTTATATAGCGCCAACAGTTCACCCAGCTCTTTGGAATATAAAGGGGGACAGTCAGGGGCAGACTGACAACTCATGGGGCCCCCGGGCAATAGGGGATCATGGGGCCCCTGTGTCCTTGCCCAAACTCAAAAAAGCCTATGAAAAAGGTACCAGGGGCATCTCATGGGGCCCCCTACTGACCCCGGGCCCTCGGGCAGTGCCCGAGTTTCCAACTGGTCAGTCCGCCCCTGGGGACAGTACAATTACAATACATTTAAGTACAGAAGGAATAGGAGGGTAATGGGGGAGATTTACCACAACCGGTGCACTCAGAATCTGGTGCAGATGTACATGGTAACCAATCAGCTTCTAACTTCAGCTTGTTCAATTAAGCTTTGAAAATAAAACCTAAAAGCTGATTGGTTACTACACACAGCTACACCAGATTCTGTGTGCACCAGTTTTTAGTAAATTTCACATATATATATATATATATATATATACACACACACAATCATATTTATATATATTCTTTCCTTACTTCAAGTATATCTTCATACAAAAATTATATTTTAATACAAAAATATATATTTTATTGTGTTTTTATAAATATATATATATATATATACACACACAATAATATTTTATATATATAGATACATAGATAGATAGATATTATATAGATATATATATATATAATAAATATTATTGTGTGTGTGTGTATATATATATATATATATATATATATATATATATATATATGTACCACTATCCCGTCCCTTCTAGATTGTAAACTCGAAAGAGCAGGGCCCTCGATCCCCTCATGTTTTGCATTGTATTGGTATTGTTCTGTCACATGTTCTGTCCCCCTTTGTAATGTACAGCGCTGAGTGAAGTACAGAAGGAATAGGAGGGTAATGGGGGAGATTTACCACAACCGGTGCACTCAGAATCTGGTGCAGATGTACATGGTAACCAATCAGCTTCTAACTTCAGCTTGTTCAATTAAGCTTTGAAAATAAAACCTAAGCTGATTGGTTACTACACACAGCTACACCAGATTCTGTGTGCACCAGTTTTAGTAAATTTCACATATATATATATATATACACACACACAATCATATTTATATATATTCTTTCCTTACTTCAAGTATATCTTCATACAAAAATTATATTTTAATACAAAAATATATATTTTATTGTGTTTTTATAAATATATATATATATATACACACACAATAATATTTATATATATAGATACATAGATAGATAGATATTATATAGATATATATATATATAAAATATTATTGTGTGTGTGTATATATATATATATATATATATATATATATATATATATATATATGTACCACTATCCCGTCCCTTCTAGATTGTAAACTCGAAAGAGCAGGGCCCTCGATCCCCTCATGTTTTGCATTGTATTGGTATTGTTCTGTCACATGTTCTGTCCCCCTTTGTAATGTACAGCGCTGAGTGAACTATCGGCGCTTTATAAATACTGTATAATAAAAATAATAATAATAATTATATATATATATATATATATATATATATATATATATATATATATATATATATTTAAACACAATAAAATATATATTTTTGTATTAAAATATAATTTTTGTATGAAGATATACTTGAAGTAAGGAAATAATCCTTGCAGCTTGAATATCTCCTTCTCATTTGTTTTTGGATATATATATATATATATGTATATATATATAAAACTCTGGCAATAAAAACGTATATTTAAATCTATTCCTTAATAGCCACAAAGGATACATACTGTATACATTTTGTGTTGCAAACTCAGGTATTAACTTGTAAAAGGAGTGGTGACATCATCACTGTGCTGTAGATAGCCTGCACAGAGGACAGAGCTGTGTGTGTGTGTGTGGGGGGGGGGGGGGGAGCAAACCCCACCCACAACAGGCTAAAAGTACAGGAGGGGGCGGAGACAACACCAGTCAACTTGCACAAGGAGAGAGAGCAGCAGTGACCAGACATTACTGGGCTGGGAGGACAGGAACAGAAATAATGGCAGGGAGAGCTTGCTATTGGAGTATCCAAGAATTAGGAAGATGGGGCTATTTTTGCCTACCAGGATCCACCTGTAAGTAAATTGGTCCTTTCAAAGAAACTTGTTCCAAAAGAAATCTGGGCACTGCCATTGCCAACCAACAAGTCCACCCATTACAGACTGCCTGCAGAAAACTATAGGAGGGTGGGAACAAGACCAGTCTCCCTAGGAAAGAGATCAGCAATGACCACTCTCTATTACAGAAGTTTTGCAGAGAGGAAAAGTTTCATGCTGGATTCTGCTCAGATCTGGAAGAAATACACAAAGCACACCAAGATTCAAGAACACGCATGACTCTCATATTAAGGCTAGATTTGCATTACTGCGGGCTGGGAACACTTGCAAAGTCGCACGCATTTTCAACCGGCAGGCTGCACTTTAGCAGACTTGCTGGGGTTCTGTTAATACTTAATCGGCAAATGTGCCATTTTTTCACAGGCGTCAAACCATTCGACCATGTACTATTTTAAAAAAGGGTCCAGGACTTCTTTCTCTGCATTTCTGAGAGTAGGGAAGCCAATGAACGGGCTACATACATGCACAATGCAGTTTTCAATGACGTGAACCTAGCTTGAGACAATATTTGCCTATCCCAGGGTTCGGCTACAAAGATGAACTCTAGGCATTCTTAATATTTGTTCAACCTGGATTTCAGCTTTGAATATCTGTGTGTACATGAATGGACGTACATGTGCACATTTCACTGTACAGTCTCAAAACCCGACCATCTTGTTATAAAGATAGATAGAAAGCTCTAACGGGCAGGGCCCTCTGTTTCCTCTTGTACCAAATTGTATTGTAACTGGAATGTCTACCATTTTGTAAAGCGCTGCGCAAACTGTTGGCGCTATATAAATCCTGTATACTAATAATATTGCCTCATTGTTATAAATTAACCTTTGCAGCTGAGATTAAAGAGAGCCTGTCTCATATTAGAGGAACCTATTTTTTCGGTGTGGCCATTGAACGCCATGAGAACTCGCTAGGTCCACGGAAACTCATTGGCTGGATATGTGTTAAGCCGTCACTCGGTGAACAAGGATTATGGGCTTCCACGATTCTTCTCAGGTGTATACAATTGCTTCCTTTGAAATTAATCTTTCAAAGAACAGACAAGTACCAGCCAACGGAGGAAAGTAACAAGTCTTTGTACAATGCAAATGAATCAAGTATTAGGAAATATCCAGTAAAGACAGTGAAATAATCTGTAAAGAGATATATCCCTGAGCCGCTTTGCTTTAGTAAATGAAACTACTTTGCCTTTTGAAATATGTAATTATATTTAGAAGGGAAGAGGGGTATTTAATCTTGAGTGAAGTGCTCCAGGCCGCCTTGGTGAAGTTCCGTGTTACGTAAAAACCACTTTAGACATAATGGAGGATTATAAACTGACTATGTGGACAATTGGGGTCAGGTTTGATAGAAATCAAGGTGATCTTCAATTAAGAAGCCGCGGGTCCCATTGCTAGGATTTTTTCCTAACAGAAAAGTGAGACAACATAATATATTGCATTTTGGATTTAACCTGGATTTAGCTTTTGGCAATCTTAGGTTGAATAAATAGACATAAACTTCATTGGGTTGTATTTAAGGTATCATGTTATATAATATCTCCCAGTTTGTGAAGGACCATAAGAAGAAAAATTACAAAAACAATGTTCCTCTAAGAGTCTCCAAACATTCTAAACCTAGAGCCAGTTTACTGCCCTATTAGATGTTAGGGGGGCTGGGCTGTGCCTGTGGGAGTAGAAAATGGTATCAATGGAAAGAATAGTGCTACATCAAAGGTGTCAGTGAGAAGAATAGTGTCCCATATTTGGTGTCAGTGAAAGATTAGTGCCTAATCACTGGTGTCAGTGGGAGGAATAGTGCCCTATTGTTGGTGTCAGTGGAAGGAATAGTTCCTCATTATTGGTTTCATTGGGAGGAATTGTGCCCCATTGTTGGTGTCAGTTTAAGGAATAGTTCCTCATCATTGGTGTCAGCAGGAAGAATAGTACCACATCCTTCATGACAGTGGAAGGAATAATGCCTCATCATTGGTGTCAGTGGAAGGAATAGTACCACACCTTTGGCATCAGTGGAAGGAATAGTGCCTCATTGTTGGTGTTAGTTGGAGGAATAGTTCCTCATTATTGGTGCCAGCGGGAAGAATAGTACCACATCTTTCGTGACAGTGGAAGGAATAGTGCCTCATCATTGGTGTCAGTGGAAGGAATAGTACTACATCTTTCATGACAGTGGAAGGAATAGTGCCTCATCATTGGTGTCAGTGGAAGGAATAGTACTACATCTTTCATGACAGTGGAAGGAATAATGCCTCATCATTGGTGTCAGTGGGAGGAATAGTATCACATCTTTTGGTGTCAGTAGAAGGAATAGTGCTTCATCCTTGGTGTCGGTGGGAGGAATAGCACCTCATATCAGCAAGTGAAATAGTGGCCCAAAGGCCGAATAATGGCAAGCAAAGGGCTGCATCTGACCCACGGGCATCAGTTTGGAGACCAGTGCTCTAACCATATAAAACTAAGATATCTATACACTAATGGGGAATAATGAAAATACAATTAAGGAATCATTTGGGTCAATTTTTGTAGTCAGCAGACTGTTAAAGTATATGTAAACCCAAGACGAAAGTGAAACATTTTGTCTACCTGTCCTTAGCTATTATGGCTGAATTAGTTTTCCTTTTTGGGGGGCTTTTTTACTTTTATTTTCACTTGGTGATCCTGCCAGTAACACACTTTCTGACTATCTTTGTAGGAGCCCACTCCCCCGTTTGTCACCCTAGCTACAGGACTTCTTTTCCTTTCCTTTTCCCCATGACATGGGAGGAGGTGTTCTGTAGTCCACAGAGAGAACTCTCAGAACTGATAATATTACTTGATATTTCACTGCAGTATTAAGTTTCTGGCAGAATCAACCAGTATTTTTGCACTATTGAGCACATATAACAAAACATTTTCAGTGGTATCTTAAAAATGCCAAAATGGAGCAATTAGCCCATTGTCAGGGTTTACATACACTTTATAAATTAGAGAAGAGTCTTAAGATATATAGGCACCAACTGTAATGTTTTTGTGCCTTGATGACCTGGATTTTAGGATTAGTCCAGCCCTGTACTTTAGTGGGTATGAAGAACAAAGGTGCAGTAGGACCTCC